AAAAAGTTGGCTTATGTTTGCCCAGGTGTTTAGTAGTCATTTGTTTTTAATTTATTCATACCATTAGCTGCTTGAGTTCATTCTTGAAATGAGATTATTGTCTTAATGTTGTGCTTGAATTCAACTAGTGGTAATTAAGTTGATTAAAGAGGGGAAAGAGTTATGTTAAACTGATTGTCATGTCTTCAAAATATATATTCTTAATTGCTCTTGCATGGGCAATTAGTAATGCATCTATGCCTTACAAAATCGTGTAACTTCAACATTAATTAACATCCTCTTTCAACCAAACACTGGTGAATTACTTGGTAATGATCTACTGTTTATGGGTGCGTCGGCGGTTCTGTTGATGGATATCCCTATATGCTTTATGAGAAAACTAAGGAGAAGAGAAGCACCATATTCTGAAAATGTATTACTCTTTCATGTATGCAGAAAAAATAAAGAATGTCACACCTTTATTGAAATGTTGTGTTTCAGGCCAATTGAGTAGAAAATTGCATTTCTTTGGCTCTGTGAGTAGAAATTCTTTATTCGTTAAATGCTTTCTTCTTTACTGCTGCACTCTGATTGGCATTTGTTTTTTTGTGTTTATGTTAGGCAATAGATGAATGAAGCTTTTGTGTTTATGTTAGGCAATAGATGTGTCTGTGTAAATCAGTCTAATGGTTTCAATTTATAGATTATTGAGGGAGGATGAGATATTACTGTATATACCGGTAGTTGTTTCATGTAATGAGAAGAAAAAAGAAATTTGTGTGATTGTTTGAACAAGGTTTGGTGTCTGCTCTCCATTGTTCTTTGTTATTTTCTTTGCTCAAAAATAATGTGGGATAAGATCAAAAGTGAGGAATAAATATCCAAGTTCAATTATTTCCATTATACCCATGTTTGACTGTTAAACTAGATATGAACTCTATTCCAAGTGTCCTAACTATATGGTACAGTAAACAGAAAATGCTTCCTACGTTAATATCAAGTCATATTTTTTTATCTCCATTCTGCTCTAATTGGAAGAAATGCATGGATGACTATTTAATTGTTTCAAACTGTCTAATTTATTTGGGTTTTGGATTGGATTATCTTTGGTTTCTTGGTTTTGCTTTGTCTATGTGAGGCTTATTCTTTAGTCAGAAATTCTTGGTATTATATAATTGTGCAAGTGTGATTGTAATGACCATTTCCTAATGAATAAGTTGAAGTGAATGCACCTTAGGAGGCAAATTGATTTGTTGGAAATTTAAGAGAAGGTGTAATTTCCCTTTAGTTCAAGTATAGAATTAAACTGTGAATGTATTAGAATTTAGAAGTGATGAACTTCCAACTTCTTTTATGCTCTGGGTCCACTTATCCCCGGAGGGTATATTTCATCACACTATAGCATAATCAATCCATATTTAGTTGATTAATTGATGAGACCAAGAAGTTTTCCTGTTTATGATGATACATATAATGAAAAGTGAATTGTTTTAGGTCAATGATATTGCTTTGTTCCTTGCGTTCCTTGGCAACATAACTGAACTATTAGTTATAATATTTTGGCTTCTCTTTGATTTTTTTTAGAAACTTTTAGGTTTCGATTAGAAAGTATGTAAATTGTGTATACAAGTTGACATTTTCATAAGTTTTAGAGGAGATTTGCCATTTTTTTTTCTGCACCAAGAAAATTATTGGGCCTCCTAAATGAATTATGTGTCACTTTACTCTTGGTAATGCTATATTTTTTTCCTTCAAGTTATCGACTTCTTTTGTTACACCGTACCTTGAGACAGCTTCCACCTTCAATAATCAACACATCTGCCTACCAAAATAATTTGTTACAATGTAGTATTCTTCAAATTTTAATTTAATTTTTCGTTACACCGTGCTTTCAGGCATGGACAATTACTAGTATATCTATATAATAAAACACTTGGCAACTTGAATTTTTATCCCCAACATTTTTTTCTCCCTAAAAACATAGCATCACTTATTTCTATTACATATTTAATCATTGATATATTTTTCCCTTAAAAATATCACATTACTTACTTCTATCATATGTTTAATCATTTAATATTTGATTAATTTGTAGTTAATATATTTTTTATTTCAAACATTATTCATATACGATAATACACACATGTTGAAAAAATTTAATATAGTGTGATCGATTTTTTGGGCGCTCCAATTTTATATTTTATCGTGGCTTCATGATTAGTGAAATGTGCAAATTTAGAGTCTTGAGACACCTAAACGCTGCTTTATTAGTTGTTAAATTGGGAAATTTGGAGGCCGGTCTTCCTATATGAACTTGTTTGGACTTAAATCCGTCAAGAAAACTTATTTGTTATGAAGTCCATTTTTTATCAATTTTACCATACTATCCATTTCCTTTAGAAGTAAAATAAAACTAAAAATTAAAAATTTCTAGATTTTAGGAGTTTAACTAACATTAAAATCTTTTCTCCCTCGTATCTATCTATATCCATATATAGGTTAAGAGTTTGACTAACATTAAAAATTTTTCTCTCTCAAATATATAGTAACATTAAAAATAAAAAATAGTAACATTCAAATACCAAAAAAAAGTATCATTTGGACACAAAAAATAATACATTTAAACACAAAAAATAGTAACATTTAAACATAAAAAAATTAAAATATTCAATATTAATATTTTTAAAAAATAACAACAGTAACATATTCAACAAAATTATTAACATGTTCAACAAAAATAGTAGCATGTTTAACAAAAACTATAACATACTTAACAATAATTATTTCTCTTAAATTCAAACACAAAAAATAGTACCATTTAAATACAAAAAATAGTAATATTCAAAAAAGAATAATAAATAGTAACATTGAATATTAATATTTAGGAAAATAATAGTAGTAACATGCTCAACAAAAACAGTAACATACTCAAAAATAATAGTACATAAATAGTAACATAATAAATAGTAACATGAATTTGAATTTTATTATTCAAATTCATAGTAATTTTTTTTTATTTGAATGTTACTATATATATATATATATATACCTAACCTATACATACAGATAGATAGATAGGAGAGAGAAAAAATTTTAATGTTAGTCAAACTCTTTGATAGATAGATATGAGAGAGAAAAGATTAACTTCCTTTCAAGGAAGGACATTTTTGAGATAACAAAAAAGAGTGGACTTAAGTCATTACATATAATTTTAAACATGAATTTAGCCCCTTATAAGTTTCTTTGCAAGACTTATCTCCAAACAAGTACATCTAGGATGACTCACTTCTAATTTTCACTAAATTTTAGATACGAACCTAAAAGTAATTTAATTTGTTAATATGGTTAAAAGACACATTAAAGTAGCATGAAATAGGAATATTATAATTTTTTTTCACTCAACAAACACTTAATTGGTGTAAAATGAAGAAAATTTCTTATGTTTCCTTTTGTGTCTATTTCTTGATCTAATATTGTATGACTAGTTATTGTCCATGTCTAAGGGTACAGAGTAATTAAAAAAAATGGTCAATCATAAATATATTTATATTTACACCCAAAATCAAATCACAAATATAAAGGAAAAAGAAATGAATTTAAGTATTGGTTATAATGGGAGTGAGCGGTTGTAGTGGTTGTGGGCGACAATGGTGGTGGTGGTGAAAAACGACGATGATTGTGATAGGCGGCTATGACTGTGGTGGTGGTCGCAGTTGTGATTTGTAACAATGATGATGATGATGACAGTGGTAGGTGTGGTATTGGGTGGGCAACGACAAGTGGTGGTGGGCAACGATGGTAGTGATGGATGGTGGATGACGGTTGTGGTTGGATGATGATGATAATTGTAATAAATATAAGAATGAGATGATGATGATGGTAATGATAATAAATATAAGAATGAGATGATGATGATGGTGGGTGGTGGTGGTGGGCAGCAGTGATAGCAGTTGTTGGTGGTAATGATGAGTGGTGGCGATAATGGTGGTGATGGTGGTGATTGTGTGGCAGAGGTGGCGATGAGGTGGTGGCTTGGTGGCGGCGGTGGTAGTGAAATGTTTTGTTAAAAAGTGATTTTAAAAAAGTATAAATTTTTTTTTAACTTATTTATTTAAGTGTTAAATTACTTTCGACTTATTTGAAAGTAATTAAAATAAGTTATTCCAAACACTATTAAAGTATTTATGAGAAGTTAGAAACACATTTAAAAAGTCATCCAAAACAAACCCTTAGAAGACTTATTTTTCCTATTAAATTTGAAGAGTTAATATTAGACGCCAGATTAATTTTAAAATAAAATTTAAAACGACATTAATCTCGAAAAATAAAAATTATTTTTTTATATTGTACTTTATTATATATATTTGTTTTATGCTATTTAGGAATTTGTTTGTTGGTTTTGAAAGCATCTAGGACGAAGTGGAATTTTAATTTATGAAAAACCTACAAGTGATGATAATTGTGAATGAGTCAATCCAAAAAACCTGTGGACGTGCTCAAATTGTGAATGACACGCATTTGAATTTGAATTTTTAGATTTCATTTGGGTTTTATAGTATTTTTCAAAGACAATAGACTCAAAAGTCACATGGTATGGCCATTTAGCATCCAAAATAACATTACCCAAAAACAAATTAAAAGTCCAACATTTAAATTGTATTAATCCATCAGTTACATCTCATTTCGAGCAAAATAATCCAGTTTAATAAGTTTTTTTTTTTTTTTTTAAAAACCACCTCTTCTAATAATCTCATAAATTTTTTTTAAAACCATAATATCACACCTAGCCCAAAATAGATAATAACGTGGTGATGGCTGATTCGCAATACACATTACACACCCAATCCTCTTTGCTTCACCTTTGGGGAAAAAAAAAATAGCATCCTAATTTTTAATTCGCGTAATAAACCGTGACCAACTTTGACTAATTTTCCCATGCACTTATTTTTATATCACTCTAAATGACCAAGAACAAGAAATGAAAACCTTTCAAATGAATCCTTACAATCCTGATATTAAAACAAAGTATATAATTTTTATCCAACGAATTTATGGATTGCCGTCGACACATAAACACCATGTTACACAAGAATTCCAAAAAACAAATAAAAAATCAAAAGAATTGCCAAATGACTAAATCATGTCATTTTTTTCAATGGTTGATTACTTACGCATCATCGATAGACTCACTTAATGTATCGGAATGGATAATCTTATCGGGCTTCTGTTATGGAAATGGACAAACCATTTACAGAACATTCATGCGAAGCTGAATTGAGCACATTCTTTCCAGTGAAAAATGCAGGTTGTTTGGGAGCAACTGAAGGCATAGTTTCATTACCGAGCAAAGAGATGACTTCTGACATGGTTGGTCTGTCCGTTGCACTTTCTTGAACACATAAAAGACCAACATGAATGGTTCTCAACAGTTCATGTTCTGTGCACGAATCACCTAGTATTGGATCCTTTAACTCCAATGCAGCTCCTTCTTTCCAGAGCTCCCATGCCTGGTTCGGATAGATATCATTAGTACAAAGCAATATTTGGTGTCTCTAAATGTATATAAGTGATATGGTCCACGTCAGTTGTGACATGCTAAAATTTACTCAACTATACCCGACCCATTAATAATCATGTATACACGGACTCGTATTGTGTTTAACGGGATTCGTATATCAGAATCTGTTAAGACTATACTCAAATTTACTAATGCACGTTATCAGACATAGTTTAGAAAATGAAGCAAATATTACTCTAAGACAAATTATACTTCGATCTTGTCAAATATACTCCTGTCTCACATTGTGTCCTTATATATTATGTTTTTCATATTGCACCGCTACTATAGTATTGGCTTCATATTGTTGTAATTGCAAAATGTATTATAGATTGATCGAGAAGAAGTGTGAATTCACCTCCAAACAAACGGATTTTGTTTCACTTTGCCCTAATGAGTCATCAATATCTAATGTCCAAAAAAATTTGATTTTGAGACAATGAGACCAATTATAATACATAAGTGGGCAATATGAGAAACTCATTAGTAGGTGACATAACACAAGATCAAAGTCATAATTTGAGGATGTGAAGGGTATCATTAAAGAAAACAAACTTACATATCCAATGAGGTTGAGTGAACGGTCAAGATGATAGAAGGTAGTATTTCTCCTTCCACTCACAATTTCCAAGAGTAAAACACCAAAACTGAAGACGTCAGATTTCACAGAGAAAGTCCCTTCCATAGCATACTCTGGTGACATGTAACCACTGTATATAATGATCGTATAGAATTTCTTTAATATATCATGGTATAAACAATATGTGACCCAAGTTTAGAGAGTGCTTGATTGGAACAATTATCGGTTATAAAAGTGAAGGTTACTACTTCCACAAATCATAAATTATTTTACTTACTATGTTCCAACAACCCTATTAGTCATTGCTTCCTTTTCGTTTGGGTTGAAAATTCTTGCCATGCCAAAATCAGAAATCTTAGGGTTCATACTTTCATCAAGTAATATATTACTGGCTTTCAAATCTCTGTGTATTACTCGCATTCTTGAGTATTTGTGGAGGTAAAGTAAGCCTTGACCGACCCCATCGATGATATTTATTCGTATTTCCCAGTTTAAGAGCTCCCTTTTAGCTAAATCTGTCACCAGAGAAAAACAGAAAATGCGTTGAGCAATAGTAAGTTATCAGATGACAGCCCTTACTAACTGTAATTTTTGGAAACTAGGTAAGGGTAGACGTATTGCACACCAAAAAGGAAGAAGTCAAGGCTCTTGTTGGGCATGTACTCATAAATTAACATCTTTTCTTCTCCATGTAAGCAGCATCCAAGAACCCGAACAAGATTAGTATGCTGGAGTTTGGTTATGAGTATGAGCTCATTCTTGAACTCCACAAGCCCTTGACCTGATGTTCTTGAGAGTCTTTTGACCGCTATTTCTCGGCCCTCAGGTAATTGTCCCTATTAAAAAGTTGTTGGTCATTGCGTATACTTGACAAAATCTAAAGGGCAGCCCAGTACATCTGACCCTCTCTCGCCACTGCAGGCTTTGATGGGGTAAAATGTACGTAGTCTGAAACTGAACAAAATTTGATAAATTTCAATTGAACAGGGTTTGCAGTTTACCTTGTAAACAGGTCCAAAACCACCCTCTCCGAGCTTATTTTGATGCGAGAAGTTATTTGTGGCTGCTGCAATGGAGGCAAAGCTGAATATATTCAAATCGTGCCGTTCCCTTCCATTGTTTTCAAAAGCATCTGCATTGTTTAAGGTGACTGAAGCTGTCAATGCCCGTAAATTCTCTTTTCTCCTTTTTTCCTCCTCCCCTGCAAATACTACCAGGTCTCAAAGTACAATTCCAATGTCTACTAACAGAAATAGCTTATTATTGGTTGAAAGCACTGATTGTAGGATATTTACCTTCTATTCTACGCTTTCTCATTCTCAAGTACAACAGAGAGCCCAATGTAAGCAAGCCTAGGAAGATAGCTATAGCAATCACTGCCCATATCCACTTGTTTCCTGCCAAATATCATTCATCAAATTAATTAGTTACGGCTAGATTTTACATATTGTAAAGAATCATTAGTTTTCAACATCATGCTAAATCTCAATGCCCTGTTACAACCCTATAAGGATTTAATAAAAATAATCCCAAATCCATATGTTCTCCTGCAAACTCAAATCTTTTCGGTTCCATTTAGTAATCCATATTTTACCTTAGGTTTATAAGTTTCACAGTTCAATGGCCAATGTTCAAAAATGATAGCAGTAGTTTTGATTTTCAATAGACTAGTCCACCTAGACCACCTATGGCCTAGCTTGAGTTTGAGATTAGTCTTAATGGGTCAAAACTCAAAAGGGAGGCCACATCACAACTATTGGCTAGTTGACAACCACAACTGTACAAGACTTAGAAGTCAGATCCACCGAACTTAAGTTGCAGCTCCACTTCCCTTAAGGTAGGATTCTGCTTTCAAAAATCCTCTGCCATTTCACTTAAGGCAGGATTCTGCTTTGAGAAATCATCTGCCACTTCACTTATGACAGTATTCTGCTTTGAGAAATTCTCTGCGTCAAGCAAGATTTAGCAAAAATAGATTGTTTTGAAGACTTAGCCACCATACCCCGGGGTTTGGGCAATTTAATACAGGCATAATTAGTTTAAACTTTACATGTCAAAGAAAACAGCATGTGCAGCCATCCCAACCAACATGGAATGCACTGATTAACACGATATTGCCAAAATTCTTTCCATTAAACCTCAGAAATAATATCATGATATAAAACTAAAAGCTAAGTCCTGACCTAATTTGTTTCATATGCTGCCCACTTGCTCTCATATCTAGATATAAATGAGGGCTAATGGCACTCTGCCCCCTCAGATTTTTAAAAGTTGTTTGACGTCATGTACTAATAGGAAAGGCAGTATCAAACAGTGTATAGATATAAATAGGCTTACCTTTGGAGGATTTTGATGAAACCGGCAGCAATGATGTAACCGACGGCGACGGCATTGATGAAACCGACGGCGGCGGCATTGATGAAACCGACGGCGGCGGCATTGATGAAACCAGCATTGATGAAACGAGCACATGCGTCTTCACAGATTTACCGGTCTCATCTATTTGATATTTATCATTTCCACTCCACATTACGCAGCTTGTTCCATCGCTACTGCTGGCAAAACCAACACAACTGCAATTGTTCCAGCACCTTTCCATACAATCACTTAGACTTGAGATTGTATTGTCTACATAGATACTAGTTGTGCCCAAAAAATAAGCACTTTTTTCCTGGAAACTATCGTTTTGGCTCCGGCACCTGGGCAACACAGTGTTCACAAACCCATTATCCGCTAAACAGCAGATAACCTGGGAAAAACCAGCAGGGCTAACGAAACTACTATTAGCACCATCAAGAATCTCCCCCTTTGAAGTCAATTCCAGCATATTTATATTGGCGTCGGTAGCATCAAAAGTGAAATACTTCCCAGCACCATTAGAGACGTAGTTGGAGTTGTACGGATAACGTGCGTGTTTCAAGGCGACCACGAATTCGAAATTTACATTATTCCAAGGCCCACTTGTCCAGTAAAGTTCTCCTCGCCGATGAATGACCAACTGTGCTGAGTCTCCAATGGATTCCAAGCTTAAATCGAAAGCGCCAGCCGCCGGGACATAACCATTTAGCCAAGAAGTAAGCGTCCAATTTTGCCGGGATGTGAGATTATAACCAAGTTTCATACCGGCCAAAAGGGTGTTGGTAGGATGATCAAAGCTTTGCCATAGAATCCTCCTATCAGCTGCATCCATCAGGACAAAGTTACCAGAATCTTCTAGTGTAGCCGTTGCATTAACTGTCCCATTCTGATCATGAAGAATCATAATACTGCTCCCTCCGCTGGTAATTTTCAAAGTTCCGGTGCTGTCGATTGTGAGGACCCCAAAGCTGTTAGTGATGGGTGAGTTTGGATTGGCAACCCAAACTTTCCTCCATTGGTTATCATTTGTGTACCATACTCCAAAGTAACTGGAATTCTGGGAATTTGGGCGTCCCACAGTGAAGAATCCTAAAGTGAAGTTCCCATTTTCGGAGACAAGTTTCGTAGTGGAGTTGAGTTGATCACCAACTCTGATTGTGCTTGTTGCAGCCACAGAAGAAGAACATAGTCCTTGGCTGCATAAGAAGGACAGGATGAGCATGAAAATTGAAGCCATGAAGGGTTGTCTGTGTGACAATCTTTATATCACATGACTGAGGCTAGTGCTTTACAAGGCTTTTGGAGTCTTGGACATTATCTAATATATCTATATCTATACCACTTCTAAAAGTGGCTTAAAGAAGAAATTTTTTTGATTTCCTTATTTGCCCTTCAATAAGTTTATAATATCATACTTATCCTTTTACTCACTAATGCCTGATTGTATTCTTATCTAAATAAAAATGTTTTTTGCTACTTACGGTTACTCCTTTCAAGTAAGTAAACTTTTGTTTTTCTCTTTCACCCTTAACCATACAATTAAGTCATTTTCACCCTTGAACGTAAACTAATTTTTATCCCTTTTTTTGACCATACACATTCTTAGACTAAATACTCTGACTACAGTTACAATATTCTATTAATGGGCTCTTACTTCTCTGCCTCACTGTCTGCCCGAAAGATGATGAGTCACAATTGGCAGGTATACAATGAGGAGAATAACAAACAACAAACATAGAAAATATCATTTTAGAGCTTTGATGATGATTGTAGACTACTAAAAAACCTACTCAACCACATTCCACGGTGGAAGTTGGTTACAACACATTTCTTGGACCTTTGTGATCCTTATCTGAACTTGTTTAGGAAGATCATTTTGTCAATTTCTAACATTGCGGATGTTATTCCGCTTTTGACTCTTGCAAGGTTGGGTACACTCGGTTCGATTTTTTGAAGAGTAGTTCAAGAGCCCATTGAAGCAATTGGTAAATGATAATTTTGGGTGGTGCATTTCTATTCAGGAAGGGGCAATTTTGAGGTCTTAATTTTCATTGCTCTATTTCTCCAATATGTGGTTGTGTTTTTTGGGAATTCTCATATGGGGATTTTGCAATTATAGGGATTGGTTTCGTAAATATTTGACTATGGGTCAAATTTTAGAAAAAAATTATTTGACTATGGCTTGTGTTGCATCTAAATGATTTCATACTGTAGATATCCTCCACATGCCCATATGCACTATGTTCGTGGATTACTTGAAATTGAAATTGTAACCTTTTTATAAGTTGACATTAAAAGCACAATAAAATTAAAATATATAACTCATGTTATTGGGGTTTTTTGATATTTGTTAAAACTTATCTTTATTTAATGATGTGACATGAGTTAAACAAATCATTGTTTGTAATGAGTAACTTTATGCATGTTTTCCTGAATTACATTTGATAGTTGGGCGTTCATTTGCTACTCCACCAAAGGTTTGGCTTAAGCGTATCATTTATCATATAATTGATTGTTAAATATTCATGTATCATAGAGATTTTGAACTACCATCGTCTACCAAGATGTTATGTCCACTACAAGAAAAAAACGTTTTTACGGCGGTAAAGTGTTGTCATAAAAGTTTATTTGCCGTCACAAATACTTTTTGTGGCGGTATTGCCTCGCCATAATAAGTGTGGTCTCAAAAGGTATTTACGGCATCAACAGTTTGTCTCAAATAGTATTTACGGCAGCAAGATCCTATCGTAAATAAGTTGTCACAAAAAATCCGACACTTTTATTTTTATCACGGCGGCAAAAGTGCTGCCTCAAATACCATATTTGGTTGTCGTAAAAAATAGAAGATATATTTATAACAGCAACGATCCAGCCACAAATATATATTTTTTTAATTATTATGGACCGTTGGTAACCAATGTTATGTACCCTTTTTGGTGGGAGAGGGAGGGGAAGGGGGCTTGAACCCTTGATCTCAAGAAAACAAAACTTTCATAATGTAAGAAATACCATTAGATCAAAGACTCATTGGTATCCATACAACTACCCAATTTAATATATAGATAAACACAAAAGTAAATATAATCAATATTTCAAAAAATATAGCAATATTTTCATATTCAAAAAAAACAATCCCACGAGATAAACAAAACGTAAAATATGCATTTTTATAAAATATAAAGATCTATGAGTACAAGAAATTAGTGCAAAAAATTGAACATCCTTCCCGAACCAATTACTCTCTCAATGACATCTACAAAAAATATAAAATTATTGTTACTATACTGAAATAATATTTATATAAATATATATAATAAAGAATTAAAAGAAGTTAGAATATACATCAACAGATGACCACACAATATTTCTTTGAATGACTTGTCCAATTATGTATCATATACATTTTTTCTAATTGGTTTCACCAATACCTGATTCGTTTATAATCGTATCATGACGGGTTCACTTGTTCACTAAACAGGTGGCATAAGGAAGACTCAAACCCATTAATTTTATGTCGTGTTAACAGGTCGTGTTATATTTTGACACCCCTAGTTTTGATATAAAAACTTGACTTTGTGAACTTTAATTTTCTTTTCTTTGAACTAAAAATTGTCTTTTGATGTTAAACTACGTAATTTTATAAAATATTACTTGTAACATGAAAAATAGTTGTGGTAAATACAAATTTTTTTAGAGTTTTTCTTTTTTAAACTATAAACTATTTTTTAATCTAAAACAACATTTTAATACTTTATGAAATATTATATACGTTTGAAAAAGTAGCTGCCATAAATATAAAAAATTCTTTTGAATTTATAAAATATTACTTGAGACAGGAAAAACAACTGTTTTAAATACAAATTTTTTTTTGAGTTTATGATACTATTTACGGTAAAAAAAATAGCTGCCACAAGTATTAACACAAACACGTCTTTTGTGACAGCAAATACAGCCGCTAAAAAAAATTATCTTAAATACATCTTTTGTGACGGCAAACACAGTCGTCGTAAAAAATTTGTCACAAAAAACCCTTATTCTTGTAGTGGTCATTGCTTCTATTGATGCAACACCGTCTCTAGGGAATATATTTTGTGTTCATTCTTTGTGTGCTTGTTTGTGGGCTGCAGGTTTGTTTTTGGCAGAATTTTTTAGAGTTAAGTCTTGGGATATGATTGATCATATGTATCTCAACATGGGTAATCGACAGATTCAAGTGTTCATGTTTGATGTAGGTTCTTCTTGTTTTAATCTCCAAATTGTTAATTTATAAACTAACACTATCTTAACTAAAACGAACCATTGAAATGGATAAATTGTTATAGACCTAACTTTTAGTGTTATTTGCAAAAAATTACTGTCCGAATGTTCAAATCTAGAAGCTCAAATTCAAATTCTTTAAAAAGATTCACGTGCAATGCACGTGTGTAATGATTAGTATATATATAGGCAAGAATTTTATAGTCAAAATTCATATTCTATTATGTCATTTACTGAAATAAAATCGAAAATAAAAATCTAACTTTTCTTAAAAATTATAATTAGTATACAATTATACTATCTATTGAAATAAAAAAAAGGGGTCAAACTATAATAAATACAATATCTTTTAGCTTTAATTGAGATAATTTGGTAGTTTTTTTTTTTTTTGATCAAAACAAGAAAGTGTTGATATAGATTATGTAGGAAACTTTTGGATACAATTAGAAAGGAGGGAAGCCCTGAGCTCGAGAGGGGGAGAGCCTAACCAGTCCAAAGGTAGAGAATTGGTTAGTTTAGCAGTTGCCACCCAATGAGCAGCCTGATTACAGGCTCTAGGCTTATGTAAAAAGCGAAAGTTATAAAACCTCGCCAAAAATCTAATATCATTCATAATTACATTAAACTCCCAAGGGGGGACATCCTCAGTTGAACTTAACTTGATGATACTGAGGCAATCATTCATGATAAAAACATTTGAGAGCAAGAGACCTTCAGCTAGAAGGTAGGCTTGACGAACTGCCTCAGCCTCAGTAGCCATAGAAGAGGCAGCATGGAAGGAAGAAGTAGCCCCAGCCAAAAGATCCCCATCCTTCGAATAGACCACCACACCACAAGCTGCCCACAAAAATTTGGAATCAAAAGAGGCATCATAGCACAAAAGAATATCAGAGGCAGACGAAGGAACCACAACAGCAGAAGCCACCGAAACATCAGGGCCAGAAAGAGAAGAAGAAGAGATACAACTCAGATCATTCCACAAACACTAAGCACGCAAGATAGAAGAAAAGGCATTCACAGCCTCATCGCAAAAAACAAACTGATTTCGCGCCTTCCAAATGACCCAACCTACTGTTGTAACTTTCCCAAAAACCTCCAATCTCCCCTGGGCATCAGAAAGCTGCTTCAAGATCCAAGATGAGCGTTGGGAAATAGAGAGAAACGGAAGCTTCTCCCATACAAAGGACAAATCCATTCCAAACCACACACGCTTCGTCCAGTCACAATCAAACAGAATGTGTTCAATAGATTCAATAGCAGACTAGCAGATAGGGCAGAGAGCTGAAGGAGCACACTTTCTTATAAATAAATTTTCCTTTGAGGCCAAAATGTTATGACAAGCCTTCCACCAAAAATGTTTGACCTTTGGAAGAGCTTTCATGTTCCATAGGACCTTCCATAGAGAAGGTTGAGGGAAGGAAGAAGAGCCACAATCCAGAAGAGCCCTAGTAGTTGAAATGGCCAGATGATAACCAGATTTAACAGTGTAAGCTCCTTTACGCTCCATTCGCCAAATCCTTCTATCAAGAGTACCATACTTAGATAAGGGAATAACACAGATAGCCTCAGTATCATCCCGAGAAACTACAGAGGAAATCAAGGGGACATCCCATCGAGGAGGATTCGACTAAATAAAGTCAGCCTCTTTAACAGAGGTACAATTCAGAGGCTTAGGAGAGAGAACATCCCAAGAAGGAGATAGGGGGATCCATTTATCAAACCAAAAATCAATACAAGTTCTATCACCCAGCTGCCATGTGAGACTTTTCTCAAGAAGAATTCTGCCATGAAGAAGACCACTCCAAACCCATGATGGTCTTTGACCACTCTTAGCTTGCATAAAATCCTCATTAGGAAAATAGATGACTTTGGTAAATTTCGCCCAAAAGAGTTCGATTGAGAAACCAGATGCCAACATTGTTTAGCCAACAAGGCTTGATTCAGTAGATAAAAATCCTTAAAACCCATTCCACCTCCATCCTTGGACACAGTCATACTCTCCCATTTTTTTTTCCAAGAAATACCATTCCGCTCTT